CATTTTGTCACTTTTTTCACAAAATTAACTGAATGGATATTATAGGCCAATCTTTACTCTCTCATCAACTGTGTTGATTCACTAGCTGTCCTGCATGGAGAACTCGAGCGCAGTAATAAAGCAGGAGAGTTTGCTGTCATCAAACAAATCGGGCAACCAAGTAATATTGTTTCATCTAGTATCTTTTACTGTTTTCGAAAATGTGAGTAAAGTGAGAAAATCGTCTTTGTTCAGATTTCTGAAGCTCGGTTGAAAGCAGAGAGCGTATTCAAGGATGTTTTGTCACGCAAGGATCGAGCCGATGCTACCAGAAACGCGCTGTCTGTCCTTACACGTTTCAAATTCATTTTCTTCCTCAGTAAGACTATAGACGACAACATGAAAAAGGTAATGGAAAGCTATTTTAATCATTTACTTTGAGAAAATACGGGGTTTCCCTTCTCATCACGACTTTCTAGGGTGAATACTTGACCATTCTCAATGACTATATGCGGGCAAAATCTCTTTACAAGGATACAGAGGTTGCTTTGTTCAAAGAAGGTAAGTCGGCGATAACTGTTCCTCACAAACGAAAGAAAAATATCACCCAAACGACTCTCCATTCGTTATGAACTTGTTTGTATTCAGTTATGGCTCATCTTGATACGAAAATGGAGAAATTCAAGGAGCAGATGAAGATGAAGCTGATCGATACTTCAGCTTCATTCGAAGAGCAAAGCAAACTCATCAAATACCTTAAGGTTAGTTATAACAGCATATTTTAGTAATGGTATTCCCTCGGAGAAGAAGTATTTCAAGTGATATCTAGTTAGGGATGGGTTCGTACTTTGCGACTTCGGAGAATCGGCGATTTGGAAATTGAGTCTTGAGAGAATCGGAGTTCAGGAGAGCTGGCCTCTTTATGTCGCATGATCCAACTGTGCCATTCTCCCATCCCACCATTCTCTGTAAACAGCGATTCTTCCATTCTCGCTATTCGATAGATCGGTACTTATACCTTCCTTTTTGCTCAAAGCGCCGGTTCGCTCAAACTGCTGATTGTCCCAAAACGCCGATTCCCTTGAGTTGCAAAGTATGAAATCACCGGCTTCGCTGCCTCAGAGGTCTTCGTATTACTGAAGCTCTCCGTTTGTGCGCAAGTTGGATTGTGGGGGAGCAGAATAGAGCGAATTCAAAAAAATATATTCTTGGGAAAGGGTAAGAGTGAGCTCATTCTTTATCTTCGGCGTTTTGAGTGTTTCATGGGAAAAGTAAAATGCACGTATCAATGCATGGTATATCGTATCTGCGTTTTGGAAGGAACTCCAGCTCTTTGTTCGCCGGGAGAATGATTTGAAAAAGTTTAGTATCGGTATTGATCGGTACTCAAAACTCCGATTCGCTCGCAACGGTGGTTTTGCCTGCAACCGTTAGATCGACACCTTTACTTTACTTTACTTTATTAGTATCGGCAATAAGATAAACAGTGAAAAAACAAGATATGCTAAGGAGAGGAACACAGATTCCGATAACTGCATCAAGAGCAAGGGGAAGTGGTTTGGGGTGCGACAGGGAGGGGCAGATTTTGCAACTCAGAAGGACAGTGGCCGCCCAACACTGTAAGTTCGATGGCGGACGTAATTCGAACTCCGGATACCATCTTAGTAGGTCCGCCAACCTCGCTGCGGCCGGCTCCCATTGTCGCTTGAGCAGGGAAGGGGGGAGGGGGAGATAACACAATAAGAAAAACAAAACTCGCAAACTCGTAATGAGGCTAAAAAAGCTATGATAAAAGAAACGCCGTAACAAAAGCTGACGCTAAGATGCGAATGATACCAAGACAACACTACACTGTAGTCAGTCATGGAGGGAGACATCTCGAATCAAGATAGACGAGGAAAACATGAGGAAGAACATGAGAGAGAGGATTTAAGCAAAAAATATAACACATGGATGAAAAAAAGGGGGGGGGGACCCGGAAAGGGGGGGAGACCAGTCTACATTGCTGCATAACAACCAGTCTGAGGGAAAACACAGTCAGTCTGAGCTATTACAATCAGTCTCAGAAAAACACAACCAGCTGAGATAACCATAATCAGCCTGAGAATTTGCAAACTGCCTGAGAACCCAAAAGAAGATAACTCATTTCTACAGGCTCAAGACAACGGGGCTTGAGTTGAGGCAATCCGGGATACCAGAACTAGTGCTCGAGGCGAAGAGCTAGGTGATTTTGAAACAGCGATGCGCGTTTCCATCTGAAATAACTGCAGTCTAAACTGTTCCAAATATTGACAACTCTAACTAGAAAGGAATCCTTGAAAGCATCCGTTTTAGGCCTATAAGGCCGTATGCGGTAAGGGTGACCCCTTGACATGCCAATGGTGGAGGACTTTTCCGCCTGCACGTTCCCTTTCGCTGAACACGCTGACTCGCTCAAAACGCCAAGTAACAAAGTATGAACGCAGCTCTAGCGTTGAAGGTCGTTCACTAAAACAAATTAAAAGTCAGCTGAAGGGATACACATTGGCAAGCAGTGCAATTGTGAAAGGAATATGAAACAGTACAGTTTTCAGGCAAACCGAACGATTCTCTGCTAACTGATCATAAGTCAGTTATGAGTGCGTGAAATTTCCTTGCGCTGCGAATTGCATTGGGATTGTCAGTTGAATAAGCTACTCAATAACTAGCTGAATAGCTCTCAATAACTCGTCTCGCTTTAGAGGGTCTTCGTATCTCAGCTGGAACCAACACTTCTGCGAGTAGAAGATTCTAGTTTCTGTTCCACTATTTATTTACTATT